CCTCCTTGACCGCCAACCAGAAGCGCTTGCAAGAGCTCTTGGCCACCCAGGAGCGCCGAATCGGAAATGCGGCCGAGGAGCGCCGGGAGCCCATTGGAGCCGAAAATCGGCTGTGGCACTGAGGATCCTTCCACCCACGGCCAAGGAAAATCAGACTGACATGGCCCAGATGACATCCATGATCCCAGAGGCATTGCTTTGTGAAGGCCGCCCTGGCCCAGTATATACAATTCAGGAATCCCAGAACCCCGTAAAAGCCCGTGAATCCAGCCTTTGCTGGATTCGCCTATGGGTTCGCACCCGTAGTACTCACCGTTTCTGCTAGTAGAAGACGACTTCGCCATGGCCCATTGACTCGCAAGCGGGACCCGCGTGTTCGCCCACTGGAAGACCGTCGCAGGACGGTGGAAGCGGCACATCGCTCGCGGAGCTTTCACACGCAGGTGCCTGGCCTGAGCTCAAATGCGGTGCCCTACGAAGATGACGAGATGCAACATCAACTCATATATGAACTGTCACAGGGAAACACATTTTGTTCCATCATTTTGGAGGGTCCAAGTATTGAAGCCTTGATCCTTTGAAACGGCGCCTTGACAAGTGCTTCACGCCCAGGATGCTTTGTTTGGGCAATCTCGAATCGAAGGGCGATCTTAAATCATCGCCCTTGTGCCAGCCAGGCTATCTCAGACTGCCGGATAGCGCCATGCTACACCCCATCCTTATGGGGCGTATCGGACCTGTTGTCACAGCTTGAAGCGTTTTGACCATGCTCATCGGATGGGTGGGCCCTTGGGGCCTTTGCTTTTCCGATTTCGGAATCCTTGGTGAGGTTGGCCAAAGCAAGGTCATCGGATGTTTACGTGCTTTTAGGATCTTTTAGGCACTTCTTCAGCAGAATAGCCGGGATTTCAAGTGAAACGCCGTGTTTGGAGGCCTTGGCGGCCTCAGCTCGCGCAATGGAACCGAAGAAGGAGCACTGCAGAGGTTGACAATGTCTTCCAGCAGTAGCTGGGCTTTTCTTTGGTTTTCCATCAAGGGGATGACTCCACGACCTGATCCCAATCATCAAAAATGGCTGAATGGGTTCATGAGTACTGTAAAATTCATGTTCGGTGTCCAGTCCTTAACTGCCCCGCCATTGGGGGGGTGCATGTGTCAATGCCTCAATGCGAATTTCCTGGCTTTCGCGCACAGGTGGATTTTGAGATGCCACCATTCAGTAGCCAGAAGACAGTCAGTTGTTCAATTATATATGCACTATTAAATCACTATTATTTGCCAAGCAATCCATGCATGGTATATTTACGTGCATTAGGGTGGTTTCAGGGGTCAATGTAGGCTTAGATTCCATACGTGGAGTGTTTGGGATATGGCTCAATAAATGTAACTACTGTAAAATTTTGACCCCATGGAACCCACTCCAAACACTTGGACTGGGCGTTCAGTCAAGCAAACCCCCCCTCCAGCCAAGCAAAACACCCTCCTAACATCTCCCAACAGGCCTCCCCACGTCCCCGAACGAAACAAGGAGCTCCGAGTGTTGACTGTTGAATAAAGCTCCCCAGAGGGAGATGTGAAACCACTCTGTTTAGGGGTTTATAAATCAACAGTCTAGTCAACAGTTTGCACCTCTTGTTGGAGCCGTCTCAGTGGGCGGACCTGGTCGCATAGTGTTGGGGAAGCTGAATGGAGTGTGTTTTCGGATGACTTCGTGAGAAGCTTTTTTGGGGGGGGCCAGGATCATGGCGCAAGCCATGGTGCTATGGCAAGCCGCTAGCTACTGCTAGTACTACTGCTGCTACTGCTGCTGCTCCTACTGCTACTGCTGCTGCTGCTGCTGCTCCTACTGCTGCTGCTGCTGCTGCTGCTGGTGCTGCTGCTGCTCCTGCTACTGCTCCTGCTGCTGCTGGTACTGCTACTGCTGCTGGGACCCTACAGCACACAGGCACAGGGAGCATGCTGTATGCATGTCTCGCGACGACAAGCCTTTACCACCACTACTACTACTACTGCTACTCCTACTGCTGCTCCTGCTCCTGCTCCTGCTGCTGTTGCTGCTGCTTCTACTACTACTACTACTACTACTACTGCTGACTACTGCTGGGACCTTGCAGGGTTCAATGGCGTGTTTACTGTTACCACCTGCAGCTTGGCTCCTTCTGCGGCTGGGCCCGGCTGGCGTGAGCGACGGGCCTGTCGCGCCGTCAACCCTTGCCGCCCGGGGGCGCGCATGGCGCGTGGCCGGTGTGATGGCGGAAGAGGACGAGGAAGAGATCCTCGAAGAAGGTGGAGAAACGGATCCCACCAAGAAGAAGCTCGGTTCAGCAAGATGTTTTGTTTCAGCAGTGTCCTAAACCTTCAAGAAGACCCTTGCTAAGCACTGCTAGTCTAGACATTGGTTCATTGGTTGCCTCATTCGCTTGTGATGTTGAAGATGTTGAGGCATGATCTTAGTAGCCTGCCAATGATTTCCCGTGGTTAATTTAAGGAAGGCAAAGAAAAAGAAGAAGAAGAAAAAGAAGCCACTTGATGGATGGGACCGGGCATGTCTTGCAAGTCGTAAGGCATGGGCATTTCATGGACCTCTTCGCGGCATCGTGTGGGATCGGTCCAACAAACATGGAACGTGGAACATGGCCCCGAAAGGACGCCTGCTTTCCTCTACTAAACTTGCTAAACGTGCCGCACTTCCACTTCCATGATTGGAGGGAGGGTAGTTGGATTTGTCTGAAGATGAATGCTCCGCAGCAGAGTAGTGTCCATCCCTCATCACGTGTTGGCAGCCAATGACATTCACACAACAGGTCTGTGTGTACCATACCCATCCATACCCATCCATAATGAGTTGTATGGAGTTCGCTCGTCACACTGGCTTCCAGTTCCCCAGTTCATCCGACTTGCGCAGACCAGCGGCCCCATCCGAGGTCGCCCGAAGACGAGGCCGAAGAGGAACCCTCTGAGGCCGCGGTTACGACGACTGGGGGCGGGACGTTGGACGACTGGGGGAGAGGAGCTGCTTGGGCAGGGGCCAAGACCAGTTGCAAGAAAATACTATAGTACAGTAGTCATTATAATGTTAAATTTCTAGTTATTAAATATTATATAGTCCTTCGGAACGAAACTTTTGGAAAGCTGAAGGGCCTGAAGTGAGAGCAAGAGGAGTGAACTGGACAAAGATCATGCAGAAGGCAAGCTTGTTGATGCAGCTTACAACATCTTACAACTACTTGGTAGCAGACAGCATGTATCGATAAACATGGATCAACCGGCTTCGTCACAGCACTTTATAGGTGCATGTAGATGGCTGATGATGGCTGTCACTCCTTCATTTTGGTGTCTTGATTGGTCAGGATTGGGGCCACTGGCCACCCATTGTCACTCCCATTGGCTTTTGCAGTGGTCATTTTGCAGCCGAACATCCGAAAATATCGCCTTCAAATGTGTTTGGGACACCTCCCTTTTCAAAGGAATATGATTGGCAATAGTAGCTGTTTGTATCTGTTTGTCACAATGTTTTGACAGAGAACCCATGACATCAAGAACCTCTATTGACAGAGGCCTCGGTGCCAGGTCGCATGAACATGCCGAATGGGTGATCGTGGACCAGTGGGCCGAATCTCCGTATGACAAGCGACCCTAAACGAGCATCATGTGGACATCAACATCATCCTAAACACATCGATCTGATCGATTGTTTGCTCGATGTTTTGATGATGTTGTTTGTTTTTTCCGCTCATATGCTCAGGATATGAGGGCGGCAGATACATGAGTTCCAGCATTTGCTTTGGCAAATTGTTGTCATGAACTGTTTTGCCTGGGCAGGGCAGGACACCTTGCTGACCCTGCTGTGTACTTATACAAATTTATACAACTACTTTGTGCCCCTTTTTCCGCTCATTGTTGTTAGAATAGAGGCGGATATGTTTAGTTCTTCATTAACTTCTTCCGTCTTCTGTGGGTCTTAGGCTTCACCCGAGAAAAAAGAAAGAAACACCATGTGCTCTTCTCGGTGCTCTTCTCTCTTCGCTGGCTCCGTGGAGGCGGCGCTCGGCGCCTGGCCCCTCGCATGGCCCGACGCCAACGGGATGGATCGCCCCTTAGGGCTGGACGAAGAGTGGGTGGATCTGACGGAGGTCTTCGACCAGGCTGTCCGGCGGCCCAGCTGACCGCTGACGACCGTGAGCCGGGTATACCGAGCGGACCAGGACGCGCGCGGTGGAGAGGCGACAAGCTGTCGCGAAGCTGCGGGGGCGATGATGGGGATAGCTGGCTGAGTGAAGAGGGAGTAGTGCAGAGATTTGGAGACATTGAGCTGGCGGAAGAATGATGTACCGAAGAAGATGCAGGTTAGATTTTGTAGAGGAGAAGTGGACACCAATTTCTATGGGTTAAGTCTCGGATGGTGGGTGCAACTCCTCTCACCCTTCCTCAGCCCCAGCACCCGACCTTAGGTCTCTGATATGACCTTGGGAGAGATGGTGGAAAGCCAAAGCTTCCGCCTCTTCGACGCCATGTCAGCCATTGAGATCATGGAGCGCGCGGGCGCGACCGCGTTGAATGCGGTTTAGCTCCGCTCGTGGGCTGGGTGGAGCTGGTGCTGATCTTCAGCGACGCCAAATTGACAGGTTCAGAAGGCCAAAAGGCATCCTGAGATCGTACAACAATGTACAACACCTATATATAACGCCATATAACGCCTGAACGTCATAGTCTGAGTCTCACGTCCTATCTCACATACTTTGGACTCGCAAGTGCCAACACCCTTACATACTCGCCTATCAAGAAAGGTGGCAGATGGATTATAGATGATAATGCATGGTATTATGCAAAGGTTGTTCAGTTCATGAGCGCCTTCATTTGGGCAAGGTTTGGTATCAAGTGCGTGTTCGGTATGAAAAAATGACGGGAAGACTTCGTCTTCGAAGCTTCACAGTTGCAGAGGCATCGGCGATCTCGACTAGCCCTCCGTCGATCCAGGGATCCGGTCGCAGGATCCCAAGATGGACACCGGCTACAAGAGCAGCGAGGACATGACCATGGAGAAAGCGGAGGCGTTGGGCCTCGTTTCAGCCGAGATGGAGCCAGAGCTCATGGTGGCTTGGACTGATTGGAGCCGCTAAAAACCTTGGCCTTTCTTTTTGGTGGGTGGGGAGCCTGGTGAGGTGACGGGTGGTGAACCGGGGTGGTGCTCCCCTCATGTTGGGATGTTCATCCTGAAAGCTGCCCATGGCCTACAGCCATCCTTTCAGGTGGGTCTCATGGACCGCTTGCTGATGTACTATCTCTTGTGGCTGGACGGGCATACCATCGTACAGACCTGCTACTCCTGCCTCTATTTGCAGGATCCTCCGCGACTGCTGACACTGGGCCAGAGGATGGCGAAGGCCTTTTTCCCACGGCCTTTGGGCGTGGCCCACGTCGCCGCGTCTGGTGGTCGCGGACGTCGCCGACGTCGCCCGGTGGTGCGGTGTGTCTTTGACGACGCGGTGTGTTGATGTTTATTGTTTGGAAATGTTTGGAACATGCAGTCAGCACCTGCTAAGCACAGGCCGCTGGCACACGGCGGCCCGGTGCCGCCGATTTGGCTCAGGAACTGCTTTGGGAGGATATTTGAAGAAGTTTGGATGGTCCATCATTTTGCGTGAAATTCTGTTCTTGTATGGTCCGGCCCCCTCTAAAATACTCTGACGCTGTAATGTGCTGTGTTTGGTTTGTGTGTGGAGGGGCAGCTCTGGAGCCATTGAATTGTTGATCCACTCGATCAGCGGAGCCAAGTAAGGTATCAGATTGAATATCCGAGTGTATCTACAGGCATTGGTATTAGTATACAGTAGTATATGAGTATTAGTATTAGTTTTGCATTGGCAACTATCATGAATCAATATATAGTATTATATAGTCAGTATCTTATCCAGCTATATAATATACTTTGACTAGTGGATACACCTTGTGAGTTTCTCTTCAGGATCAAGAAGTCAAGACAGCTTGGCAATATAATATATATATATATATACATATCTCTAGGTGACCTGTTGGTTCACTCCCTGTCTTTGTTCCTCGGAGCTCCGCGGCTGGCCATTCCGAGGAAGCCGCTGCCGGCCCTGGGGAGCTTCGTGGATGCGTTGCTGATCTCCTGCCAAGTGGCTCGCGATGCGGTCAACTCCGCGGGAGTGTGGGATGATGAGGACCCGGTGTTCGTGCACGTCACAGGGTGAAGTGGAGGGAACACCCCCCCTTAGTTATAGTAAAGGACAGTCGTTTCTCAAGGGGCCATGCCATCCACGTAACCATGTGATGTGTTCGTCAGAGTGGGTGACGTCATGGATTCATGATCATGTTATCATGACACATGGATCACCTACATGTGTACACATGGACATGCACAGTCTGGTGGACACCCGGATCCAGTGAGTCCGCGGAGGGGTTCGGTGTTCTCCACGGAGAGTTCTGGTGTTGATGAGTGGGTACAGCCAAGATGTTTGTGTTCTTTTGCTACCTGTGGATGGCAGGCGCCATGATCAAAGAATCGGTATAGTGGTTTGGAAGAAGCATTTCTTCGGATCGACTGCCTCGTGAGGACTTCATGCCAACCATGTTCAATGTGGACTTTCAGCTTTGCGTCTTCAGCAGCCTGGTCGGCGTCCGTGAGGGGCTAGACTGGCTTCCAACTGTTCCATCTACACTTCTTGACGAACACATCACATGGAAGTGGAAGGGCCCCTAGATTATGTGTCAGATGTGTGTATATATATATATGGTGTAGTAAAAATACAGTATATATACTTATATAATATACATATATAGATTCTGTTTTAGGAAGACGACTGTCCGACAGAAGCGTACTCTTCACCGACGTCCATGTCGTCCCTCGTCGGCGTCTTCCTCGGTCCGAGGCAGCGACGCCGTAAAGGTGAATGTGACTGGGCAGAAAAAGTCCCGCTAGATTGGGAGTCCAACTAGACCATACTAGACCAGTAGGTTCCGGATAGAGTGTGTGCAGTGGTGTGTGTGTAGGTGTAGTAGTAGTAGTAGTAGTTGTTGTTGTTGTTGTTGTTGTTGTTGTTGTTGTGGTTGTGGCTTTGGTTGTGGTGGTCGTTGTTAGGGTGTTGTTAGGTTGGGGGGGCAGGGGGGTGGATGGTAGAAACACTTGGTTTCGTGTTGGAAGAATGCATCGTACTTGTACATGTCCAATCTGTTCATATTTGTTCTATCAAATTCTTGGGAGTCTCCCCTTTTGGAATATTCACTTCCTTCAGCTACCTATGGGACCTGTGGAAGAGTTTCTTCATCACTGGCATGTGAAGTCTTCATGCTGCTGGGCTGTGAATTTGGACCTAATACTAATTAAGCCACTGTTCGGATACTTTGGCGCGTTGCATGTTCATGTTTGGTGTGAGGGGGCGTGTTGTGGAATTGTACAATACCACCTCCCCAATAGGGCTCTTCGACACATCTCCCAGCATTTTGCATTTTGAGAAGGTGTTCCTTTCCACCGCGACGGCTCTGCTGAAAATGAGCCCCATCTCCGACCCAAGGAGAAGCTGAAGACTGAGAAGGAACGACAGGAGAATGCAGCCGTGGCTCTTCGCTTGGACTTCATCAGCAAATATATGTCCGCCTTGGTTTTGGTAGCAAAGCCCAAGGCGGGGGCCACGGACTTGTGCAAACGATCTGTTTTCATCACTTGGTGCGACCGGTTCTACACAGCCAGGCCCAAGTAAGAGGTCATGCAATGTGACGCTGTGCTTGGAGAGTGCTTCGTATCAATGTCAGGAGTTGATTGAGACCTAATTGTCCATTCATACAGTCTTCCTCAAGAGAATTATCGAGTATATATAGACTGAATTTGCACAATGTCGCAGCAATATGCAAGAATACTGCTTTGAGGATATATTTGCTCCAGGTGCATTTCTGGTCTCTCTACCAATCATGGCTTGGTGACATTTGTTCGACGCACACCTACTTTTCGAAGAGCTCTTCACCATTTTCTCCGTTCTCCCCTGGTCCGAACTCGGCTCCCTTGCACCACCGGCCCTGGGAACGGCCGGTGCAGGCGTCGACGCTTCCGACAGCCAAGGGCTTGTTGGCCAAGTGCCGGCAGCTCTTGGAGAAGATCAAAGCTTCTGATCCGGCACTGGAGGCGATGACGTCCGAGCCCGTTAGACGCGTGGATTGGAAGGTGGACGGTTTCATGGACATCCGAGGCGAGGGAGGAGGTTACGAGGTGTTTGTGGCTGAAGGGTGCGGAGATTAGACTGAACCGGTTTGAGCTGCCGGCAGCTTGGAGACCTTTCTTTTTGGGCTTTCGGTGGATTTTTGTTGCTACCATTTGCATTGCCCGCGGGTGGAACAGGTCGAACATTTGGATTTGATTGGTTGGTGAAATGGGGTAATGCTCATGGTTTTTTCACTCTAGCATCGCAGATTTTCTGCCTCTAAGATGATAGGAACCTCTTGGAAGGATCAAAGCTGAATGGTTTGCCTAGCGAGTGTTGAGATGTATAGTTCCACCCTGCAAAGCACAGAACCTGAATATTACAGTTTCACTGCCCTGAAGCCAGTACTTCTGAAGGATATCAATCAGAGGAAGTTGGTTGTTTTGGTCACTCGGGTGTTTGTCCCACTGCTTCGGCACTCAGCAGTATAAGTGCATACTGTAATATACTGTATATAATTTACAGTATAATTTATGTATGGCACACACACTGGCATATGCATATTATATTTATTTTGGATATACGCTGTATACTGATGAATGATTGCTGCTTTGGAGAATCACATTGCTACGATGGCGCATTCTTCCTGGGGGGGTTATATAAACCTCCCAGATGCATCCAAAGGCTCAAAGGGCTCATGGACGGCATGCTCATTTGCTCAACACATGTAAGAGATGGATTGCTTTATATGCCTACATGAACTCCCCAAACCACCCCGATGTAGGTATATGTGAACCCCATGGAGCGGCTGGGGTATATGTGAACCCTTTGGCCTTCCAATCCCAAGTTTAGAAGACGAACGAACCCATCCGCCTGATCACATCCTCGGTTCCACGTGTCGGTGTTCGATCCTTGAGGATGTCGCTTTGATGGTTCCATCAACCGGAAGCTCCTGGTGCCCGGGCCGCCTCGCCAGGTGGAACCCATTGAGGCGAGGGTGAGGGTGCCGCCTTGAAGTCGCAACGAAGAGGTCTGAGGGTGGTAGAAATATATATGTATATATACATTGGTTGTTCCAGATTGTTTAACAATTCTGGTGTATGATTCACAACCGCAGTGTGAGAAGATATGTACCGTTAGCCTAAGGCTTCTCTTGATGGAAGAATCCTTGGACCTAGAACCTGCAGCACGGGTAGTTGGGCGCTCCTGGCGTCAGAGCATCTTAAGATCACCTCCCTGCGATGAGGCCATGAACACCACCCCGCACACACCACCCCACACCCCGCAGAGGCGATGCACAGAGACCCCAGGCCTGGACATTTTGTGAGCCTAGGAGCTTCATTTCAGGTGGCGCTAATGTCACTCCTGTTTCTTCGGCAGACTTCATCCTTTGCCCCACAACTCTACCGGTCAACCAACTGCGGAGCCCAAAGAGACGGAAAGAGCTCGACACGCCACGCGGGGGGGTGGGTTTTCCCCCGGCACCACCGCGGTCGGAGCGAGTCATCACGTCGGGCCCGCGTCATCTGAATCTGCGCGGGAGGGGGTGCACAGCAACCCGTGCCGACTGTGGCCTCCAGTGAAGCGGGCACCATCCCTCAGGGGCGAATCGATTCGTTCGGACGTCTCAGCCATCGCACGGCGACGGGCCTCGTGGGGCGCGCGGGATGCGGCGTGGCCGCCGCTGGTGGGTCGAAGGATCCGAAGAAAGTCTTCAGCCTTTGGACGGAGCATTTGGAGGAACTGTCGCTTTGCTGCAGCTTGTTATCCCAACCCCTGGAGGACCGGTGGCGACCGAAGACGTGGGGAGTGCTTGGATGATTGTTGGAAGTGTTGAGAGAGGTCTCTGGAAGTGGAGAGGTCCCCGGAAGTGGAGAGGTTGGATGTTGATATCAGTGGTTGGGAAAGCGGGTGATGTTTCTGAAGAGCAACGGTCGAGTCCAGCGGTTTCTGAGGCATCTCTAACGAGTCAAAGAAGCATGACCCTTGAATTCATAAATATCGTCAATGAGCCTGACCTCAAGTCTACCCAACAAGAACAGGGAGGCGCGTTGTCAAAATGCCTAGATGACCCCAGTGGTCAACATACTTGCAAACAAAAAAACGTGTAGCACCATTTTGTTCACTTGCATCTTGCATTACTGTATGTTCATCCAATCTGACATCCCTGTGCTTTTGGTCTTGCGGATCGCCGTCAGTGGTCATTCGCGCGACCTGCAGGAGCTTGTGAAGGGCTCGATGAAGGGAACGGCCAACATTCTGAGTCGCAGCGTGGCGCAGCTCGTGGTCCAGGACGGAGCTCGGGGCACGTCTTGAAACGGCGCGGTGTGTTGTTTTGGTTCCTGCGTTTTTGGCTTACAGGCAGGACATGGCAGGGACATTCCACATGGGAGGCTTGTCTTGCATTCTTATTCTTGCGAAGACTATATATATTGTGAATGTACTGTAGAATGTTGGTCATGTCGCCGTGTCGCTTTTTGTGACCAATACTGGTTTTCAGCATGTTCCTCAAGCCTTTAATGGGCCCGGCACCGCTGTGGTGTCACTAGGTGTCACCACGGAGACTGCAGGAGCCAGGCTTCCTCCGAGAGCGGCTCTTGGAAGCTCTCCTCGCCCATGAGTTTCCACCTGAGGCCTGCGCACGGCCTTTTTCTCCGCCACGTTGGGCGGTGGGCAAGTGAGTTCCGATTTGCATCGCCGTGTTCGTTTGAGGTTCTTTGATTCCATGTTGGTGACAACAGGCGACTTTGAGAATTCTTACAACTGGAAACTTGCTGTAACTAGCCTGCAGTGTTCGAATTGGTGTTGCTCCTGCGGCGCAGTGTTGCTGCTCAGGCAAACCAGCACTGTAAGAAGCAGACGGAACCTTATTTACAGCGCTGTGAGACCTTGGTTTTGCAACTCCTGAAGATCACACACCTAAACAGACGCTTTGCTGATTGGATTTGATTAATCTGATGGGATTAGCTGCTGGGAATCCGCCCTGTTTCATGGTGGTTCTCTTGTTGGACCTGGCAACTGGGGAAGCTGGGAATTCGTAAGGGTCTCCAAGAAAGGATGTGTTAACGCGAGGGGTAGCCTCCTATATATGACCAAGGGCTCGTGGATCAGGTTTGAGCATCGATCATTTGACCAGATCAAGCAGCTTTTGGTCGTTTTGGTTGACTTCTAGGTCCTATCACCCAAATGACTTGGACTGAACAGTTTCCACCAACTACTAGTTACAAGATGTTACCAGTGGCTCCAAAAGGCTCTTTGATTTAAAAGAGGTGGCTCCCGGACGTGGTAACAAAAATCAATGCCCAGTCGATCGGCGCATTTGTTTGGTGACTTGCGGCTCGTCCTGCGCACGGTTGGATGCAGGACGGATGTGGCAGCCGAGAGGGCCCACTGATGAATTACCCCACGCTCCATGTATGCCATATATATATATGCAAAAAAATTGGGGTGGTTTCAGGGGTCGCATACATGGAGTGTTTGGGTTAGGATCGAATAGAGGTTGATGACTTTTAGCTGCCTCATCATCCCTGGGCAACACGGCCACACATACTCTGGAGCTGCCTCAATATTTCAATGTGGTTTTAGGATTATGCAATTTCATATAATTTCTTCATTTGGGTGTCCTCCATTTGGATAAATTTGGGTCTATGCTTGAGGGCCGGAGAAGAGTTCTTTCACACCAGAAGGGTCGCCGACCACTTCATTTGGTCTGAGACATCTGATAGCTATGACTTGCTAGGATCCTACAGGTTACCAGGGCTCAGACTCAGAGCTCTTAAGACCGAGGCACTCGGCGCTTTCGGCGCTTGGCGCACATCTTCGTGGACTTCAACGAGCTCCAGCATGAAGCCTGGCGCTTGGACGAAACCTTGAAGAGCACCTTCGGAGCCAACCTGCGGTATCAACGGCCTAGCTGGGGCGCCTTGGCCAATCTTGGCCACACATGGACGGGTGGGAAGGGTGGCCGATGACCGGTTGTGACTCATCCATGGTCACCACGAACAGGTCGCCACAGGTCCAGACTCATTGTCAGAGCGCATGATGGTCAATGAACGAAAAAACAGTTGGCTAGAAATAGGATACATCCAATATCATCCATGGATCTACCGACCGGTCCAGTCCTGAGACTGTTGCAAGAGGTCCTCTTGGGAAACAAGTAATAACATAGCATCTGTCCAGCCGACCTCTCGCACGTGCGACGCCAGGCACCGCATTGATTGGAGTGAAAACCCCGAGTTCGTAAAGCAAAGTCATTTGTTCTAATGTGTTCATTGGTTCGTGTATCCTGGGACCTGGTGGGTGAAACCATACTCACACATCTCCAGTCACATCTCCAACCACATCTCCAACTTGGGGGATCTCGGAATGATTTCGTGCATGTGTTAAACGTTTAACCCATCAAGTCGACCGTTCGATATCAGGGTTATATACATGCTACTCACCACCAGGGGGGCTGGGTTACGTACATGCCGGATCATGTTTGTCCAACAACCGTCCTCTCGAACGGAGGTTTCATCATGGATCAAGCTTTGCAAGTGATGATTCAGAAATTGCTCTTGGGATTCCAGTTGGACATCTACGAGGAGGCCCCTTTCTGCACCAAACGAAAAGAAATAGGTGTTTGTGTGTGGTTTGGGTGGGTGGATCGCGGGCCAGACTTCCCAAAGTTGTTGATGGGAGTGATGAAAGATGATGAACGTATAATGTATACAAAAAAAACATGCACTGAATGGTCGTGGAAGTGGATGACATGGCCCGGCCGGATGACCATGAAATCCGAATACCACACCGGTGGTTTTCTTCCATTCCAGGGAGTGCAGATGAAGCCAGGCGACTACACAGATTCAGGAGAACATGGGCCCTCCAACCACTGCTGTTTTCGTTGTTTCCTGATGTGTATGTTTTATCCAAGGTCTGTAATGGATGTAATGGTGATCTAGAAAAGCCTCACCAAAAACTGCGGATTCCTTTTTTTGGGGGGGGATCTTCTGTCACAATCCTCTCCGGGTAACTGCCTTCGGAGAAGCTACAAGGGCAGGGTTTGCGGGGTCTATAGTTTTGTTCATTAGCCTAGTGATGTGTATCTGCCGTGGAGTATTATAGAGGAATGACTGGGAGGCGCGAGACACGAATCGTGTGGGGGGGTCGACATACTTTTTACATCTTTTTACGTATTTGTTTGGAAGAAATCTGTTGGTACCCTTGAGTGGTTCCTTCCCTGCGGCCCTTTCAGATCTTTCAGGAAACTCATGTAAGCAGTGACCCACTTCCAGACTGACCAACATTGACCTTGAAAACCACCGGTTGATCTAGGGAAAAGTCTTCTAGGCACCAACGTTCAAGTTAGTTTTCGGGAGGATTAGACATAGTGACTCCCTGAAAGGGCTTCAAAAAGCTTTAGCACACTGCTTCATCATGCTGTTGGAGCTTTGAACACTTGACCATACATGACCCATGCACCACAGCTGCGATACACTCGCTCCAAGCAAGTTTGGAGGCGGAGCTCCATATGATCTATTGGTACGTGGACTACCTACTGGGCCTCAGGTGCCGACCGACCGCGACACCGTCCATGTTCGGACGGGGGTGGACGGATCAGGTTCGGGCAGCTGGGCTGGTGGACGGATCATGTGAGACGGAACGATGCACCTTTGTCCGAATTAGTGAGACGCCACTTCGGTAGGCGCTAGGGTTGTAAATCTGGAAGCATTTGGTGAGCACGTGTCTCCAGAGTGGCTTGAGGGCAGGGTCCAGATATTTGCACTGTTGACCTTTGATTGAAGGACGGAAGTGGGCACCACATTCAACTGATCAGAACACAGGGCATCCAGTTGTTTATTGATGTTTCTTCGTAACACTGGGACATCCCGTGGTTCAGTTCCAAGCGTCCCAGTCCAGAAAAGGTGGATAAATGTGGACAAAGATGCAGCTCTATATTGAGAGACGACCATAAACCATCCGTCCATCCATCTATCTATCATTATTGTTATCATCCTTTCCGCTATTCATGGAGCATATTATTGGAGCACATGTTTCTTAGGATCAAACCCATGTGTAGGGATTGTCGCCGCCATATCACAAACCAAACACAATCACAATCCATGCCAGAAACGACCCCATACGTGCAATCGAATTAAGCTTTTCGAGCATTCTCACTGTCGAACCGCTGGGGCATGTGAGGGTCTTCTACCTGAATGAGATCTACTGCGCAAAGGAAAATTCAGGAGGCCAGTCAGTCCTGGTTCCGGTCGGTTGTGTGGTCAGTTGCGACCCCCCAAACGGAGTGTAAGCGCACCCTGAAGTACCGTATGCCCCGAGAAAAGGTAAGCGAGCCTGCCGATGCGTTCAAGGTTCAGTTTTAAACTGCAAACCGGCATAGCCACTTATGACTGGCATACTGAGTGGTCAATGAATTGGTTTAAGGGACAATCTGCAGGAAACCCTGGTTATCACATCAACAACTATGGCTTTCCTCAAACTAATTCTGTGAAGATGTGGGTTGGTAGCTGATGGACTTGGGAGTCAGCTCGGCCTTCCGATCAACGACAAATACTCCGCTTCCCTGGAGTGGGGGTCAGATCCTCAAATGGACACGACACAACCAGGACCCCACCAGTTCAGGTGGGATGTTGCGAAGTGCTACAGTAGATGGACCAAATATTCAAACCATTGAGCTTTGGGGTAGAAGGGGTCCTCGTGGTTGAAAGGGTTTGAATATTTCGTCCATCTACGGTAGTACAAGACCCTCAACTTGATGTTGATATGGTATACTTCAAGACGGTTCGGAATCTGCACTGCACAGCCAAAGAATTCTGAGACCCAAAGCAAAGGTGCGAAACTGCCGGTGAGCACCACACGACCGGCAGGGAAGAAGAAGCCCAACACGAGGCCCAACAAGGGGCAGAAACCACGTGTGTCCCCGCTGAAGCTGCTGCTGATCGACGCGATGCAGTCCATGGTGCGTGGGCTTTTTCGGTCTCCCGGAGACCGAACGAACGCCCGAACGACGAAAGGTTGGAAAGCGCAAAAAGACAGGTACCAGGACCCCCCAACGGGGTTTCTATTGATAGCCCCGAAAAGAGGCCCTAGGGCTCCGACCTTCTTAGAAGGTGTTTGGGGTGGGTTTAGAGGGTCCAAATACCTTCTAAGGAGGTACTTGGAGCCCTAGGGAGGTTAAGGGGTGTCCACTAACCACCCCGACCGTGGGTCCTGGTGGTGTGGAAGGTACGCGTATCTACGGCATTTCTCGCTTCTTTTCTTGGCATACAGTTCCGATATGTTCCGATGAAGATTTCCTTGTTGAGTCTTGTTGAGCAACACGATCAATCTTTGCGAACACATTGGGGTGGTTGGTGTTTCTCAAAAATAGGACCGTCGTTCAAGAAGCAGTTCTCCAAAGGCCAAACGAAGGCAACCTGATATTTCTTAGGGGGACACCCCTTCATTGAGAAGATTTGGACCAGCGTCCTCAGATTTACCTGGAACCCCAAAACCAACATATGGACATCCACCGGTCAATTCTCAGGTTCGTTCGTTTGCGCCGGGGGTATTTGCTAAGCAATATATGTCACATCCGACATCACATCCGGATCCAGACATGTCACATCATCGGCGGTGATCTTGGGCCAACCGGGCTCCGGTTACCGGGCGTTTTGAGGGGGGACACATCCGGACAGTCAGAGTGATGTGCCCAACCTGAGCAGTGGAGCACGTTAGGTTCTGAACTTCAGCTGCCAAGACGTGCCATTTCCTTGCAGACGTGCCACGTGCTTGATGGACGAAGTTAGCTGTTGAAGGCCGGAGTTTGCTTCGCCTTTGGCGATAGAATTCTTTTGGATATACCGATGGCATCCCATGGTGTTTGTTGTTTGATGTTGTTTTACTGTTTGCACTGGTCATGATACCTGCCACAGCTTGAACACATGTCATGACACATGTTTCTTGCCACTTTAAACGTGGTACAAGTGTGGCCTCTGGTTCGGCCTTCGCTCCACATCTCAGGCTCTTAGCTTTCTGCTTGTCTCAGAACCTGCTTTCAGGACCCAAGGCGGTGGGTGCGGAGCGGTCGCGGCGGTCGCGGGTGGACAGGCGGACGTGGAGGATGGCCGTTTATTACGAAGGTCGATCTGGAAGAATCCATCGAGCTATGGCACCACTGTGGCATCACCGTATGTACCCCTTGTGTTTAAAAACGCCTTTTTGTTTCCATCTTGGCCATCCTGAGGCTTGGACATGGCGGAAAAGCCACTTCTAGCAGCTTTACATGGGGCTTGACGTGTCCATGCACCAAGGACTGTACTCACAGGGTCCCTGTTTGCAGGGTCCTGGGTTCATGAAGCACAAGATTATAACGTTTACACTTTACACAATCAGAGGATGTACTGTAAATTGGTGTGCATGCAAAATTCACACTCGTGCTTGAGGCGGTGCAGACTGGCCTTTGCCAGCGCTTCATTCTGCGCTTCCGAAGTTTGGAGATGCTCGGATGGACGTGAGAAACCGGGCAGGATTGGACCAAGTGTTTGCTGGAATCCAATGGATGTACCATAACCTGACCATACCCTCGTGCACTGGTGAAGCTGATTTAATGAATTCTGATTTTTTTTCTACAGTAATTATTTTATAAGGTGCTCGTACAGTATTTGTGTCAGAATGCCACATGCTGGCCAGAAAGCTTTCCGTCCCAGAAACCTTTTGCAGGTAGTGGAGGGAGGTATGTGTTCTATATCTTTCTGTGTGCAGGTAAAGACGGTTGGTCATGATGGGGTCTCAAAGCAAGCAGAGCCGTGAAAGATCGCCGGCAAGTATCTAAAAATAAGATATGGATTAAGTGCACCGGAGAGGGAGATCCCAAGTGGTCGGAGAGGGGTATCCCAAGTTTGTACGAGACAGGCCCGAGGCCATGATGTATTGAGACTGTTCAAGACCTTTGGAAAGAGTTCGGTTGGGTAGATGATAGAGCACTCTCACAAGCTGCCATTGGTGCACCCAATGCGGCACAATGCGGAGATAGCTCAGAGAGTTGACACGACATTCCTGGCAGCTGCGAAGAAGGGAGTGTCGCCTACCAATCCTTAGCATTGGCTAGCGGACCTTCTTCCAGCAGACTCATGCAGATCCTTCCTTCACGAAGCCCATTTTGACCATGTCACCCCACATGGCCCATTTTGACCATCCATCCAGCACTGAGGATGTTCCGCCTGCCACACTTGCCCTCTTTCTATGATTTCCAGCAGTCTGCCATGCTGGCTTCCGAGGCCCAGGCGAGGGACCGTGGCATGGGGTGTGCCCATGTGTGGCCTCAATGGTGGGATTTCATGACTTAGAGTTGCTGTTTCTTCCCCTTTTATAATCTTTTATATAGTTCTTTTGAGATGAATTCGTTGCTTTCAGGAGTTGCTGCCATCACCCATCTCGCCCTACACATCTCTTAGCCTCTTAGTCGGCTGCCCATCGCCGTTCCGTCGCTCCCAGGAACGGCGGAACGTGCTCATGGCGGCGCAGAGCTCCTTCCATGAGGCCGTGCCCATGTTGGAAAGGGAAAGAGATCGGCATAATAGGCTCGTGCTTTCTTGCTCCGTTCGTAGTATGGCCAGGAGCCCCGTTCGTAGCGTCCTTGTTCCGTTCGTAGCCCCTAGAGAAAGCATTAAAAAGCTTCTTGTTAGTAGTAGCATGTAGTAGCGATGGCCTCCAACAGCGATGGCCTCCACCTATATAGTAAGCTTATAGCGACTAAAAAGCTTCATAATTAAAAAACCATCCCCATTTGGATGCACTCACTTGCGGGCATGATTCGCATCCACGCAAACCCTTGCCACGTATTGTGGCGGGTGTTGGTGGAAGTGTCTGGTGAAAAGAGGTGATCAGGAAAAAAAGCATAAGAGCACACAGGAAACCAAAGTGAGACCATTCGGAGATCATCCATCGGATCTCAATGCATCAACAAGGCACGAACAAGATCACCGGCACCAAAATTACAAATTCAACGTAAGGCACCTAATCCAGGGGGCAGTAGGATGTGAGATCGAATCAAAGTCTTTCTTCCAAAACAATGCGTACCGGAGGTGTTTAATGAAAGCATCTTGTTTTTCTTCAGGGATTTCGGGAAGGTCAGACCACACAGGTGTGGTGAGATTTTGTGGCAGTGGTGGTGCCACTATCTCTGTATGAAAGGGAGGGTCATGTGGCATGGTCTTAAGCATGTTATGCACATAGTCGTATGTTGCATTTGCATTGGGAAGTGTAGGTCGACGTGAAATGCCTCCCTCATGGTAGTTAGTAAATCCTAGGCGTGTCCAGCTGGAGGTTCCCTGCTTTTTATACGTTGGCAAAATTGCAGATCTCGAAAATGTGTTAAGGTGTTTCACAATCCACCGAAAACTTTCCGCCAACACACGAAGCGAGCTGGATTTTATTGGCAACAACTGGACTCTTGCATCTGAGTAGTCCAACTTAATATTGCGCTTACCTTCTTTTAGACGACTTGGAAGCAGACGATTAGCCCAGAGCATGAAAGAGATGGCAAGCTCGGTCCACGAGATATGGGCTGAACAACCTTTTGATATGGGGGGTGCATTATATCAAGAGTCCACCAGTTGTGCCCTTGGGTACTATCGTGAATGTTCGTCTAGCACAACCAAAATGTGGCCATTTTGGCTCAAAGCCCACCAGCCATCCTCCTCGTTGTTTACAGCGGGGGGAGAATGGCCGGGTGGGAGAGGGGACGTGGCCATCAGATGAAGAGGTCCGAGGCAGCTCTGTCGCCTCGACCCGGCAGTGCAAAGCTGGGAAAGACCTCAGGACTGATGGCCATCGGCGCGTGGGCGGCGCGCGTAGAGATCGCGAAGATGATCGAGGCGGGAGTTCCTGCTAGAGAGATTCTGAGCGAGATCCGAAAGGGAGAGGAGGGAGATTTTCCCCTCCCCCCCTTTTGAGCAGGCGGTTCCCCACTCTGGCTCGTCTACTCCTGGGAGCAGTACCACCCCACGCCCAGGAAGAGATACGGGGGTGAGCTCTACTACATCTCGATCTGGACCACCCCGGGGAGTTCCCTGGGAGAAACCTGGACATGGGAGCCCCGTGTCAGTATCTCCAACTTCGGCTGCGGGAGGCCGCTCCTCAGGTTTGCCCGAGTGGGCACGGAAAGGAGATGGGCCCCGTATGACTTTCCGAAAGCAGGCAGTCCCGCCAGTTGAGACGTTGCCGGATTGGGCGAAGCCTGAAACAAAAGATGTTGATAAGAAGAGCGGGAAGGCGGTAGAGTCGGAGTTCGAGTACACGCCCTCGGAGCCTATAGCGGAGTTGGTGGAGAGCGGTATCTTCAAGAATTTTAAAAAGAAGGCAGAACCTCCGGAGCGTGAGTGGGAGCTCGTCGACCAGGCCGGCGGATATGTTCCAATCAAGCTGCCTTCGCGGTCAAATCCCTTGGAGACTGAGAAGTTGGAAACCTTCCGTTCTCTGTCCAAGGCGCTCTTTGAGGAGCTGGTCGTTTTGAAAATAAAGATGGACCTGGTAGAGACAGTGGTAGAAGGTGGGGAGCTGTTGGAGGATAGATTCCACATCCTCACCGAGCCACGGTCGGCCGGGACGGGACTTCGCTATGTGAGGTTGCTCAGGCGCTATGTCGACGCATACCAGGAGCAATGTGACCCTGAGAAGGCACCCCAGGATCTCTTTAGCGAAGGCTTCATGCAAAAGTTTGTCCTCCAGCTCATTTCAGAGGGTGCAGGTTTTCGTACCCCACAGAGCCTTGTTTACGCAATCGAGCATTTCGGTGGCGTCTTCGGCTTCGAGACTCCGGGGCCGAGGCACGCTAGGATCCGGAAAATGGCTAATGACTAATGACTACTCTGCAAAGGCGCCTGAACGCAACCCAGCCCCCCTTTTTGAAGTGGGCATGCTGGAGTATCTTGAAAGCGTGGTTTTGGATTCAGGAAGAGATCTACAGACCAGGGTTGCCTGCGGGAAGCTGAGAGTCTGCATTCAGGCGAGTGTTCGACACAGCGACCTAGGTGGCACTTCTATGAGCGCGGTTGAGTGGTGCCGGCCGGTTGGACGTACAGAAATTTTGGGGTTGAGGGCAAAGGCTGCCTACACCAAAAGTGGTCCCAGACCATGGGCCGCCGCTTGGGTGGCAGTCACTGCCAGTAACGATCAGTGGCTTTTCGTGTGGGTTGACCTCCTGATTCGGATGCACAACTTGGCGAGTGGCTTTTCAAGAGATGAAGGTTGGAGGAAGCACGATTTTGTTGGCTGCGCATCGGATGGTATGGGAGGCTTCCGCACGTGCCCACCTTTGATCACAGAGGATACGCTGGTTGTCAAGAAGTGCTTGTTGGACGACCTTAAACAAGGTAAAGATGTTCCGCTGAGTGAGGTTGCAATTAGGAAGTTGCGGTGGCACTCTTGCAAGAACACGATCCCCTCATACATGGTTCATTTCGGGATCACTCCACGCACAGTGAGGTACCAGGGAGCCTGGAAGAAGGCCTCGCAGGCTATGAGCGATTTGTACCTGCGAGAATCGCAGAGTATCGTCCTGAAGGCGCAGTGGCGCGTGATGGATCAGATTCGACGAGGAGCAGCCGTTCAATCGCTGACCGGCGTAACGCTGGATCACAGACCACTAAAGCCAGACTGGGGCACCGTCAATGATTACCTCCTATCCGGGAAGGTTCCCGAGTTCCAAGGAGGAGAACCTTTCCTAGGAGCCATGGAGCGTGCCGTGATCTGCACCGAGAACCCAGCTACTGGGGATCCGGAGTTGCAGCTCCAGCGTGCGCCTGCGGCTTTGGATGTGCGACCCGAGCTTCGTGGAGCAGGAGAAGGAGACGAGGAAGGTCTGCAAAGCCTGGTGAACCAAGAGTCGGAGTTCGTCAGAGAGGGATCGCAGGAGTTCTCAGATGCTGCGCTCTCGGACCTCGGCTCTTTGAGCTCAGGCGACGACTCCGATGATTCGCTCATTGACCCAGAGCAAGGCGACATCGACTTCCACCCGCACTTCATCCAGCTCGCCACCGGATATGGAAGAATCCATAAGCCTGGAGAGGGTGTGTTGGCAGACAAGCCAGCATGCAACGCGGTGGGCAAACGCTTCACCCGGCTCGTTCTCGATGAGGACTGGGGAACTGGGTATGACCTTTGTGAGCGCTGTTTTGGAAGAGTCCAAGGATGCAAACTGCTGTGCGACTATAAGACACAGCGGAAGGGCTTTATGATCCGCTGCTCGCGCCGCTGCTGCCCTGAGGCCGTGCCAGGCCACGTGAGCCCAGAGGATCCAGATTTCGACTTGAAGCTGGACGGGCATAGGTGCATGTTCCATGGGGCACCTGCTTAGGTAGGCTCTTCGCCTGAGCGGGATAGAAAACCGTGGACGCTGAGACTGGGAGTAAAATCTCCCCCTCCTTCATACCTAGTGCAAAAATTAAAGCGCCGGTTGATTTTTATTGAGCCATGCAGCCATGCGGTCCCGGTTTGCATGTTTACTAGATCCTTCGGGGTTACAAGTTTACATGAGAAAACTGGAGGTTCCACGGGGGAAACCATATCCTTTCGTTTGGATGTGATTGAAGGTGCCGCTAGATGAAGACGTCTGCACGAGTTGTCCCCTGTGAGTTCTCTGCGGCCCGAGTGGGACTTACACCCAGTCGCCCCGAGTGGGAGTCCTAATTCTAAAGTAGCCATGGCCGACGCGAAGTCTACCATCGCGTTCGGAAGGGCGGCAGCGTCGTTCGATGTCCATGAATCGGATTTTCTGGTTCTAGGCTTGGACAACGTGAATACATCGGAGGCAATGGCCTTCAGATTCCCCACTGCCGCCGACTTCGACGAGTACCTGAAGAAGCAACTTCGTGTTAGAGCGGCATATCGTCCAGAAGGGGGAGCAGCGACCGGGTTCCCGAGGCATCCCGTGGAAAGCTGGGAAACCTATCGCTCCTCGGAGGACGTGGGCTGCTTGCGCAAGTTGTGGGCCTACGCAAACCAGGTGGCAAAAAGGAACATGGAGAGGATGGCAGGTGAGGACCCAGAGTCAAAGTCCAAGGTGACGGTTGCCCTGGGTCAGGAGTTGGAGGACAAGGCGATCAACTCCGGGATGCCACCACCTATGTCAGATAGAGACAGGCCATCTCTGCATACCCTGAGCAAGGTCCAGAACAACTTTGGCCCTGGGGGGAATTTCCAGCACCTCCCATGGGAAACATACGTTGACATGGAGACGGAGAGTAGGCTTCGTCGTGCTGGGAAGTTGCCGAAAGATAAGAAGGAAGTGGTCATCTCCGACAAGAAGCTGACCCTCAACGAGAAGGACGAGGACTTCCCGGAGACTCCAAAGATTGCCGACATCCTGACCTTGAAAGACGTCCTCGAGTTGAGGGCCAAGGCATGGCACATGATGGAAGTCGCTCTCCATCAAGATACAGTGCTGTATCAGGATAAGTTGATTGGCACTTTGAGGGCAACCGTCCCAGAGGGGATGAGGCCCCCGACAATCAACGAGGCCAGGCGCTGCGATAGGGAGATCATGAACGAAGTCCTGAAAGTCATTGCAAAAGGTGCAGGCTCAATGGGGGCGGGACTCCGCCACTATGCCGAGCTGGGAGACGGAGAAGGTCTATGGAAGCTCCTCCAAGCCCAACCGGAGTCCTTCCCGGATCAAGGGCTTGAGAAAGGGTCGCAGAAGAAAGGGCCGGCCGGAGCAGAGCCCGGTAGAGGCCGAAAGCGTGACCTCGACGACCAGAGCGACAAGACCACGGATGACGCGAACAAGGCCCGGTTGTGCATGATTTGCAAGAAGCGGCATGAGCCTCGTTGCGAAATCCCTCCTGGCTGGAGGAAGGCCCAAAAGGAACAGAAGAAGGCGGAGAAGTCAGCGTCGGCAAAGTCGAAGGTCGACCCCGCGAAGGATAAGGGGGGCGGCAGCAAGAAGCCATAGGGGCTCGCCCGCCCCAGGACGGACGCAACTCCCGTTCCTGGAGTGAGGGCAAACTTCTTCCGAAAAGGATTGAAAAGAGTTGCGTCCTTGGGATTTGTTGCGGGGCAGGGACGTGTTTCGTGACCGGATCGAACTTGATTCGGAACTCGCGTTGCACGAAGTCCAGCACTGGGCACCCAACTGCTGCACTTTTTCTCGGGCGAGGGAATACCCTATCCCCGGAGTAACAAACCCTCCTAAACCCCTCAGGAGCGAGTCTTTCCCTGAGGGGATACCAGGTGTAGTCCAGGACCTCCCGGTAGCAAAGAGACGGAAGTTGTCCCTCGACACCGACATGGCGAATCTTGCTGCTGACAGGTGCTTGGAAGCCCATCGAAATGGGCGCTACTTTTCGCTCGAGAACCCCATGAACTCCCTGGCCCGCCACTTGACCACGTGGAGGCGGCTGGAGCGGGAACCCGGGGTTCTAACCACCTTTTATCACGCATGCATGTTTAGCCCCTGCAAACGTAGGAAGGCACAAATTTTAATTCACAATATTCCCGGCCTAGTTGAGCGGGTAGGTCTTACTTGTGAAAACAGTCGTTTATGTTCTCGTACTGGGGAGAGACACTGACCGTGGAGACCCGCAGTTGTCAACGGACGCGTGTCCTCTTTCGCCACGGCCGATGAACGAGAGTATCCCCAAGCCTTTTGTGAAGCCTTCGCAAAGGGTTTGACTTTTACCGAAGGGACCTCTCCGACGAGTTTCATAGAAATTTTTTCCGGTCCCAACGCACCCCTGACCAGAGCTGTTGCGCTGGAGTTGAATATTGACCCTCCTCTGAGGGTCGAGTCCCAGGGACGTCCGGGAGTGGAACACTCGGAGACTCAGACGTTGACAAACCCAGTAATCTTTACGCCGAATGCAACAGGGGTGGAGCAGGAACAGCGCACTGGGACTTCAGAGCCTCCTGCAGACTCCACACTTGCTGCCGAGCCACAAAGGCGTTATCGGCTTCATGCAGTTGAAGCCGGGAGTCAACCCAGCTTCGGAAAAAGGACGCAACTGATCGCCGACGGACTTTGTGACCCAGCAGAACACTTGCGGTTGGCAAAGGGCTTGGATCACCCTTTTGACTCTCTCAAATCGCTCAAGCCAGAACATGCCTCAGCGATCGCCGAATTCGTCGATGTACAGAGTTTGATTTCAAGAAGGATGGATGCATTACACATGATAAAAACTTGGGCGAACGACTTGAGAGAGGAGCAATCACAAGTTAATAGGAGTGCTTCCTGGACTGCCAAGAAGCTAGGTACTAAGGTGAACACGCTCCTCATGGAACGCCTCCAAGACCTCCTGGGCATCGAAGACAAACAGGTTCCAGGGCTATGTTTGAAAGGACTAAAGATCACAGGCAGAGCTCATGAATCGCCTTTCTTCGAGCAGCTGGAGGTTAGGCCAATCATGTCACGGGATGAATTCATCACAGGTTGCAATGAGCGATCAGAACGAATGATCGACCGAGTCCGTTACATGGCAGAAAAGGGGTCCAAGGAGTTGGCATGTGCCATCTGGGAAAAGACTCAGAAGGAAGTCAAAGCCGGCACCATGGGCCCAGCCATGACTTTGCAGCAGGCGAGGTCCATGTACCCAGGCCCACTCCAAGTTACGCCGAGTTTCGGCCTGGAACAAGGACAGGACACTGGGGGTCAGAAGAAATATAGGAGGATTGACGACCATACTGCATCCGGAGTCAACCAAGCAGCGCATCGCTTGCAAAAAGTACCTATGGTCATGGTGGACTACGTGGGCGTTCTATGTAGAGCGTTAGCCGGATCTGTTGAACGGATCTCGATGGCTACCGAGGATATGAAAGGCGCGTACAGACAGATCCCACTTTCACCGGAAGATGTACGTTTTGCAATCACGGCTGTCTACAACCCGGAGCAGCGAGAAGTGTCGCTTCATGAAATGTACGGACAACCTTTCGGGGCAGGCCACGCCGTGCCAAATTTCTGTAGAGTGGCAGAGTGGATAGCGAGAGTCATCCAACGATTATTCTCTTCGACCACTGACCACTTCTTCGACGACTTTTTCGTTGTAGAACCATCTGCAACCATAAAGTCTGCCGTCTTCTGCCTCAGGGAAACGTTTCAAATTCTCGGATTCCAGCTAGACCCGGAGAAGTCACAACCTCCGTCTGAGGTATGTGCCATCCTGGGAGTTTGCTTTAATACCGAGTCTTTACATAGTCAAAAGATTATCCATGTCCAGGCAAAGGAGTCTCGCCTGGCCTTCCTCCAAGACACCATTGACAAAGTCTTGAGTACGGGTCGGCTCTCTCCCGCCCTCGCAGGTAGCCTGGTCGGGAAGTTCCAGTTTTTATGTTCCACGCTCTTCGGACGTGTGGGGCGCTGTTGTACGGGACCGCTCCGTCGCAGACAATATGCCTCCTATCCAGTCGAGACTTTGACGGCTGAGCTCATGCTGGCCCTACGCCAGATGAAGTGCTTCCTTTCCACGAGTCCATCCCGTGAGTTAAAAGTCCATCACATCAACCCCATTCTGCTGTACACGGACGCCTCAGATGTCCCCGAGCGTGTCCCGCAGCGAATATTGGGAGCCTTCCTTCATGACCCCATCGACGGATATTCTGGGTACACGGCTTGGCCTGTCCCGGAAACCCTCGTTGAGAAATGGCTTCAACGCAAGTCATTCATGGGCCAGCTGGAGCTTCTGGCAGCCCCGGTAGCTTTTGAAACTTGGCGTACCCGCCTGCAGAACCGCTCAGTTTTTCTCTTCTGTGACAACGACAGCACTTCGGCAAATCTGGTTCGCGGCTACTCACCCCAGGTCGATAGCACCTCCATCGTCGGGGACTTTTGGCTGACAGTAGCCAGGCTGAAAGCATCTAATCTGTCTACATAGAACGAGTGGAGAGCAAATCTAATCTTGCAGACGGCCCCTCCCGTTTTAATTTTTCAGAGGTCCGCGATTTGGGAGCAACTTGGACACGTCCCGATCCCGGCGTGTTGGGACGAACCCCCACACCCCTGCATCCCAGAGTGGCGCACTGGAGCAGCGGGGGGGATAGAGTTACAACACCAGAGCGCCCCTAGCGTGGCCACCGGGGGGAGAATGCTCTGGGTGTCGACTCTACGGGTGAGCAACTCTTGTTG